TGGGCCCAGTGGAGGAGAACCTGTTGTGTGACCTTGGGTGCACACCTCCCCCTCTCTGGGCCTCAGCATCCTCATATGGGAAATGGGTGGGGGTGTGGATCTCCACAGAATAGGAGGGAATCCAGTCCTGAGTGAGGGGAACCGGGCCCAGGCTTGGCCCCGCCTGAGGCTCACTGTGGGCTATGCAGCCCATGGGTACTGCAGTGGGAGTGGGAGCCCCTACTCTTCGCCACCTCCTCCCACTGGCAGAGCTAGGCCCCATGCTCACCTGTAGGGTGAGCCCCTGGTGGTCCAGCCTGGTGGTCCAGCCTGGCTTTCGGGATGGCGTGTCTGACCAGCCATCACGGTGAGGTAGGAGCCCTCACCGTGTACCCTCCAAGTACCAGCGACCATTATGGGCATCAGTTCCTGGGATATACATCTCATCCTGCTCCCTGCTTGTGGCTTGCTTTCAAAAGCAGTGGAGGATGGCCCAGAGCCTTGGGAACCTGCACCCGTGTGGGAGACCAGGAAGAAGATCCTGGTTTCAGATCAGTTCAGTTCTATCTGTTGCACTCATTTGGGGAGTGAACCAGCTGGATCGAAGATGTTTCTTTCTGTCTCTCCTCTCTCTGTTTGGCCCCTCAAACTGTGTGCTCTAGGGTTAATGACAAGCAAGAACTAAAAGCCAGTGCATGTCCAGGGCAAATATGACCTCTTCTGGAATATTTCCAGACTGTGGATATTGATGCTGGCGGCCATCACCCAGGCAAGTCTCAGGTTCAGGCCCTCCCAATCCTGGTTTCTGGCTGGCTGAGGCGTAGGGCCACCTGCTCATGGAGCCCAAGCATGAGAGGCAGAAGGGAGGGCATGAGCTGTTCATATGGGGCTCATTGTCAAGAGGCGGACAATAAGGTCAAGCTGGAGCATGCCAATTCGTTGTCATGGAAACATTGGTAACTACTAAGGAACCAGCCACATGCGCTGTGTCCTTGCACTGCGAGTGCAGTCACGCGCCACACAGCGGTCTCTGGGCCCCATGCACACACCACAGGGAGTCCCTATGGCACCCTGGAGCTGGCAGATGGCGTCCTGAGTCCTATGACATCCCAGTGGTGGGGACATCAAAGAACAAGGTGCAGTCTATTTGTAGGTGGCATAGGCATGCCAGCGCCACTGCCAATTGCTGTGGGCATCGGGAGACAATGACATTCTACGTTGGGGAGGCCTGGGATCAGCTCAGTGTCCTGCTGATGTGCCTGGGAGGCAGCAGGTGACAGTGGAGGTACCCAAGTCCCTGCCACCCACACGGGAGATCCAGAAGAAGCGCCCGGCTCTTGACTGGCCTGGCCTGGCCTGGCCCAGCCCAGCCCCCACTGTTGGGAGCAATGTTCTGGCAGATGGAAGATTAATCTCTCTCAATCTGCCTTTCAAATAAATAAACAGGTCTTTTACATCAAGTACAAGATGTACAATTGCCTATGGTACAGAGCACTTTACAACAATAATACGCAATCATTACCGGCTTCTGCATGGACAATCTATATCCTGTCCTTCGACGTTATCATTTCTTTATCTGCGACATTGGCTGGTCGCTCTCTATATGTCCACCCAGAGATGCGCAAGGCTGACCCCACTCTCAGCTCCAGCCCTGGGGGTCCCAGCCCTCTCCTCTAGGAATGGGAGAGGCCAGGGTGACTAAGGGTCAACCCCCATGCCCCTTCCCGCTGCATGGGAGATGGTTGTCAAGGGTGACACAGTCTCTCCTGTGGATAACTCAGACTTGTGTCACCCACAGGAGGTGGGCTGGAGCACACAAGCCAAGAGGGAGCTCATTGTTGAAAAAAGGATTTGTTTGTTTTTATTGGAAAGGCAGATTTACAGAGAAAAAAGATCTTCCATCTGGTTGGTGCCCTCCCCAAATTGCTACAACAGCTGGAGCTGAGGCAATCTGAAGCCAGGAGCCTCTTCTGGGTCTCCCACACAGGTACAGAGTCCCAAGGCTTTGGACCGTCCTCTACTGCTTTTCTAGGCCACAAGTAGGGAGCTGGATGGGAAGCGGAGCATCTGGGACATGAACTGGTGACCATAAGGGATGCTTGCAGGTGTAGGATTAGTTTCTTGAGCCATTGTGCTGGCCATAGGAGCTCGTTTTTCGAAAGAGGGAAATGAGGTCAAGAAGGACTGTGGGGGTGAGATTCCTCCCCCAGAGCAGGTGAGGCTCAAGGGATGGACCCTGGGCTCTGCTCCCCACCAGCAGATGGGGACCCCCAGGCTGAGACAAGAAAGGGGGATGAGAAAGGTAGGGCAGGGGACAGGTCAAGGCTTGGAGAGCTGAGGAAGTGGGGCGGGGCTGGGGTCTGACCTGTGCTCCTCCAAGTCTGTATGAAGGTCTCTGTCCATTCAGGCCAGCAGGCATGGGACCTGGGCCCGCTCCAAGGCTAGGCGTACTTGTTGCTCCCAGCTGGGAAGCCCTCTCTTGCCTCATTGTCCATGTTCTCCATCGCAGATGCCTGTCCAGCCTCGCCTGGGCCCAGAGCAGCCTCCATTCTGTCACAGCCACCACTGGGCAGCATGACCATTGGACACTGGGGTCCTGTCAGTTCTAGTGGAAGCCTCCACCCTTGCCAGGTGGCCTCAGGACCAGCTTCTCTGGGGCACATGGTAAGGTGTTCCTGTCTCCCATAAGGACATTGGTGGCACTGGGTCGGCCATGATTTAAAGCAGGACCCTGTGTGCACGCAGGCCTTTGGCTCAGCAGTTAAGGCACACTTAAGCTATCAGAGAGCCAAAATGTGAATCCTGGCCCCGTCTGATCCAGCTCCCTGCTCATGCTCACCCTGGGGGGCAGCAGGGAATGGGCAAGTGGTGGGGCCCCTCCCACTTGGGAGACCGGCAGCTGCCACCTGTAACCTTGGCACAGCTCTGGCTGTTGTGGGCATTGGGGAAGGGAACCAGCATTTGGAAGATCTCCCTCTCTGTTCCACAACGTACTTGTTGGCAGCTACAGGGCCATTATGTGGGTTTCATGGCACTTTCTCCTTGTCCAGTCCTGGCAGGGGGGGTAGGGGTGGCAATTCTTCACCAAGCAGCCTTCTCTTCGTGCTCTTCCCCAGGGGGCTTGTGTGGATCCCTTTGCAGGGGACAGCAGCCTGGGCCAGGCACGGACCCCAGGGAGGTCCTGGGACACTGTGCAATGTGGCAGGGGGTAGGTAGGTAAGCCATGCACAGCAGGGCCTGTCTCCTAGGGGATGTTGGCTGAGCCAGGGCAGTTTCTAGCTCCAGGAGACAATGACAATCTGCAGGCCTTGCTGGTCACTGAGGTAACACCGTGAAGGCAAGCGGGGGTGGTTTCCCCACTTTCAGAGAACAGAAAGCGCCTCATGCTACCTCCTCCTCTCCCACTCCTTTGGTCGGCCCTGGTTCAAGCCTGGCTCTTCCCACAGCTCCAGCACCAGTGTAGGACAGGACCCGTTAGCCCTGGTCTCCAGGCAGCCCCTCTCCCCAGGTAACTCCATTCTCCCTTCAAGATTCAGCAATAGGGCACAGCAGCTAAGACAATACTAGACATTCCTTCAACCCATAGCCGGTAGCCTAGGGTTCAAGTCCAATTCCAGCTTCCTGCGAATGTGCACACTTTGGGCAGCTTATGCAGCTGGATCCTCTGCTGCCTATGTGGGAACTCCCAGGAGGTTGTTCCTGGCTCCTGAAGTGACTGCCCCAGGCCCAGCTACTGGGGGCTTTTGAAGGGGACTGAACTAGCCCACAGAAAATCTGTGTCTTTAAAATTAAAATTTTAAATTAACTCTTGGGAAATGTCACTGAGGAGGACTTGTCTTTGGGGACTGCTGGCTGCTAAGGTGCCCCCATCCTGGGCTGACTGTCTGGACCACTCTTCTGAGCCACGCCCACATAGACACGCCCTTCCAGACCACGCCCCACCAAACCACGCCCACATAGACACACTCTTTCCATGCCATGCCCCTGCCAGGGCAAGTCCCTTTCTGGACCACGCCCCACAATGCCTTTCCAGGTCTACACCATTCTAGACCACACCTTAATACCACGCCCCTACCAGGCCACGCCTCTGAATAACATCCCAGCTGAACCACACCCCTTCTGGGCCACGCCCCTTCCTGAACCACGCCTCTCTCGCCACGCCCCTTCCTGACCCGGCCTCCCGGCCACGCCCCCTGACGTCCCGGCCTGGACCTCCCCCCTCCTCAGAGCCCAGGCCGTCCGAGCCTCTGACCAAAGGGCGGAGCCAGACCGTGTTTATTTACGCCCACCGGGGGTCGCGTGGCCAGCCGGAGGACTACAGAGACCAGACACTGACTACGGCGCAAGCGCTGGCTGACGGAGCGAGCGCGCCTGCGTGGGAGAGCGTCGGGCTGGTGGTGCGCCGGCGCCCCCGCGTGGCCACGGTGAGAACTGCCGGCCTGGAGCACACACAGGGGGTGCTGGATGGGGTGCGCCTCTTTCCTGGGAATGGGAGGTGCTCAGCTCAGCCAGAGATCATCCCTGAGGACTGTGAGCAGGAGGACGTTCGCCTGGGGTTCTAGGGCAGTGAGCTGTCCAGGGCTAGGACTGAATGTGCCTAGAGGTTCCGATGTACCACTGCATACAGCAGGTGCGTAACGTAGTACTATGGCTAAGTGCATGAGCCCTCTGTGCGTGCAAGGGTGTTGGAAGTGGGAATAGTTTGTGTAACAGGGGGTCTTCATGTACCCTCAACTGCCTGACTCTGCCATGCCCCCAGAAAGGACCCAAGTCCATGAACCACAGAGATATCCTGGAAGGTCTCACCCTAGCCCCAACCATTAGCCCACTAACCAGGCCAGTCTGAGGATAGGATAGGCTTGGGCTTCTGCTGTCCCCGAGACAGCCCCGTGCATGGACCAGAACAAGGCCCTCAGCTTTCGGTCAGGGTGACCCGTCACTTGCAGAGCTGAACTGAGGTAGGGATGAGGGTGGGCCTGGTCTTAGCCATTACTGTCAGCCTGACCAGAGAGAGCCAGGGGCAGAGCTGCTGTGGGCAGGCTAAAGGTAAGGGTAGGTGGAATGTGCTGACCCTGGAGCTTGGGGCAGGGGGACAGGGCCAGAGCCATGCCCAGTGATGGGGTTAGGGGCTGAGGCTGGGGAGGGGGTCGAGGCCTGGCTCGCAGCCCACGGGCAGGGTGGCGGCCTCGCTGGGTGGGATGTGATGAGTGGTGTAGCGCGTGCCTCGGAAGGAGCCAATCCGCAGCTGTTCGGGTGCCTCCTCGGGCCACCACAGGCTGGAGCTGGAGTGGCAGGGGAAGCAAGAGAAAGAGGGCGCCATGTCTCCAGGCAGGGCCCAGACCAGATGTGCAGGAGCCCCGGGGAAGGCTGGGAAGGGGCTGTGTGGCTGGCTGCTGGGGAGTTGAGGGGACGCACTTACAAGCGCATGGTGGAGGCCGCCAGGAAGGCCAGGAGCAGGAGGCCGGTCAGGGCACAGAGGACCGAGGTGATGACTATCATGCTGCCGCTGCGTCGCCCAGGCCATGTGTCGATGGTGCCTGGGGCCACCCCTGCACACAGGGCCACCACTGCACGCCTCGCCACAACACCCTCCCCAGGCCCACACCTCAGGGCTCCATGCAGTAGGCATTCAAGGCTTTCAACTGATGAGACACCCCCAAATCCCCTCCCCAGCCTGCCTCTCTGGGCCTTGTACATGTAGTGTCCCTGTCTGCATGACTCATGCTTGCCCCTTGCAGCCCTGGCTTCCTTGTGCCCTTCCCCCAACTTGGCAAGGGTGGCTGATGGGTGAGGGGGCTGTTGGCCTGGGGCATGATATACACTGGGGGCTGACCAGAACCCTGCTCCTCCCCACCTCCCGGCAGGTGCTTCCAGGCCTCCCCACCTCCCATCAGCCCCATGGGAAGAGGGAGTGGGGCCAAATTGCTCCACCTGTATATCAAAGCACCCCACCTCCCAGAGTTACCTTGGTGCAAGGTGATGGGGTCGGACCACCTGGTCTCAGCCCTGGGGGAGCCGCTGGCATCAATCAGGAGGAACTTGACGCTGGGGACAGGAGGCAGTGGAGGACGAGGGGTGAGGCTCAGGCCAGAGCATGGCATGGGGGGACCAGGAGACAGAGGTGACGGGTGAGGGTGGAGGAAGGCACTCCCCTGTGCACCCCACATCATGCATGGCCTGCCCCCCCTCATGCTGTGGAGGTGGAGTCTGCCCTGACCCAGACCAGCCCCTGGGCATCCCTGTGCCCCATTTTCCTCATCTGAGGAAGGGATGAGCAGCTACTTCCTGCTTCCCCTGCTTGGGTCTAAGCACAACTCAGTTTAGTGTCCTGCTGGGATTCAGCCCAAAGCCTCTAGGCTAAGAGGCGGGTTCTCCCTGGGCCCACCTCCGCCCCTTGGATCTCTGGGACGGCCGCACATCCTGCCACACACTGGACTAGGTAGTGAGGGAGCTATCCCTTGTGCCCAAGGAAACGGGAGGAAAAGGAGGGGCGGATCCTGGGGGATGGGGAGGCAGTGAAGGGGTGGGGCCAAGAAGGGCATGGGTGTGGTCATAAGAAACCCCTCCTCCCTCCAGGACCCCTCCCTCCCTCCCCGGCCCCCCATCCCCCGCAATGCTGGAGCCCTCCATTCGCTGGGGTGCAACCAACCTGTAAGGCCCAGGGCCAGGGAGAGGGGCATTGCAGTAGGGTTGCTGCTGGCAGTGAAAGTCATTGCCCACTCGCAGCAGGGGGATGTTTCTGCTGTCCCCTGCGGGGTCCTGACAAGGCAGCTGGCGCAGAGACAGGGGCAGTGTCATGTAGTGGCCCTGGGTGTGCAGCTGTGGGGAGGCGGGGATCTCAGCCAGTGTCTGCGGGTTCCGGAAGTCCCTGGAGACTGGAGGCGGGGTGGAGGGACTGACCATGGCGTGTCAGGGGAGACGGGCTTTGCTGTTGCAGATGGGGGAGAGGGGTCCCCACTTCCCTCCGCCCACCTCACCTCAGTGACAGTGCAGATCCAATGCAAACCTCGTGGAGTTGAAATCCACCTTCAACCCCCGACCCACCCCCGACCCGTGTGGAAGGGCCCCAGTGTGTGAGGGCAGAAGCTCCCAGCGCCCGTCCACGCCCACCCCCTGCCCGCATCGCACCATTGCTGAGGGCTACCACGAGCCAGACTGTGCCAGCTGTATCAGCAAGGGAGTCGAAGACGCACCGCGGCTGCTCCAGTGAGAACGTGGTGGTCGTCACCTTCCCTTCCAGGTCCCAGGCAGTTATCTGAGGTGTGTAGGGGAGCAGTTCTGCAGCCGTCAGGGGTATGTTGGTGAGCAACAGCAGGTACAGATGGGGCATGGGGCCCCCTGCCACCCCCATGGGCTGCCTGCTACAATTGCAGGGAGGTGGGGGGCTGGCCAGCAAGTGTCCCAGCCCCCGCTTGTCTGTCTGAACTGGCCCATCCTGGACTCCCATCCTTCTCTACTCACCCAGGCTGAGGCAGGGTGGCAGGCAGCTCAGCATGACCACCGGCATCAACAGCCAAAAACAAGGCCACCTCCTGGGGAGCCCCATGGCCACTGACTCCATTGCAGCCCTCCCACCAGACTTCAGGCCCGGAGGAGCTGGTTATTCAGGCTGCCAAGGAGGCCAGGTGTGCCTGCTCCTCCCTCCCCAAAGTACAGCCCACTGAGGGAGGGAACTGGGTGGGCTCTGGCAATAAGCAGGGCTGGGGGAGGGGGGCCTGGGCAGTGGACAGGCCTCAGCACCAAGGCTGAGGGACGTGACTCATAGGCCAGCCTGGAGCTCCCCCTCAGGCCTGGCCCCCTCCCTAGCCCTGGGGAGGACCCAGCCTCTGGAAACCAGAGGCTGCAGCTTCATGCCTGAGATTCCAGTGCCCTGTGTGCCAGGAGCCTCCCTCCAGACTTGCACCCCCACCCAGGGAACGCCCTGGGAGCAGAGGGCAGAGCAGCCGCACCCTTGCCTTGCCCAGCTCTCAGCAGACCCGGGCCCCACTGCCCGTGCCCCCCCCACTCCAGTCCCAGACTGCAGCTGTAGTTCCCCAGGAAGAACTTGAACCCCAAGAAAGGACCCGAGTCCCAGACACTGCCTTTACCTACAGGTGTTCATTACACACATTCCCTAAAAGCACACAGCCCAGTGGATTTTAGGGTGTTAGTCCCCCTACCCTTATAGTCCTGAATGAGATGGATCAATCCAGAAATGGACGACTCATCTACCTTTAACACAATCATGCAGTCCTGCTCTCAGCCAGCACATCCCCTCTAGACGCCACCCTCTTGTGTCACCAAGCAGCCCCCACAGTTACTGGCCTGACCCTGGAGACACTGTAGGGTTTCTATTTAGAATTTGTAAGTTAAGGGCATCTTCCCCCTTACAAGCCTCAGGATCCCATATGGGTGCTGCTCTTCCCATCCATCTCCCTGCTTGTGGCCTGGGAAAGCATAATAGAATGGCCTTGGGCTCCTGCATCCATGTGGGAGACCCAGCTCTGGGCTTCGGACTGATTCAGTTTCAGCCACTGTGGCCATTTGAGGAGTGAAATCTCATTTGAGCAGATGGAAGATCTGTCTCTCCTCTGTAAATGTGCCTTTCCAATACGAAATCTTCCAGGCACTGGAGGGCAATGAGGAGTGTCACGGATCTGGTCCCTCTCCATTCATGAGGCTGTGTGACCATCCCACGTCGTCACCCTAGCACTACTATCTTGGACTTGCTTGCAAAAACACTTCAGACATCAGGTCACTTAGTACATGCCTACAGGGGCTCACGCCAGCCATGGCACATGCTTTTTGTCCCTTTTCAAGGCTGATGAGTGTTCCACCCACGTGGATATACCTTATGGGAGCCGATCAGTTCTGCGGTGGCCACTCTCTTGTCTCTGTGAACCGGCGCTTTACAGAACACTCCTGCTGGGCACACAGACATCCCCAGGAGTGCACAGAGGAGCTGGCTGCTTCCCCAAGGGACTGCATCTCAGGTTCCCAGCCTAGCAGGACAAAGGTGGGACAAGCGTAGCATCCTCTCGTACCCAGGGTCAGTTTTAGGGTTTGTGACCACAGCGTCCCACACTGGTAGCTGTGCTGATTCAACGTGCGGGTCCCCAAGACCCAGCCTGGGCACCTCTGCCTGAGCTTCCCAACTGTCTCTGCCTTGGAGACATTAGGCACGTTCCGGATTCCAGCCCCACACTGGGAATGTCACATGGCACGTTTCTCCATCACTCCCCATCCCTGTGAGCCACTGCACAGAAGGAAGATGTTCATCTTTCTGCCAACTCGTTGGAAAATAGACTTTATTGCATTTTTCATAGAGAAAGGGGGCTCACAAAGGCCCAAGTGCCTTTGATCCACAACAGGCAGGCAGCGGGGTCCTGCTCGGGGCATCTGACCAGCCTGAGGGGTCACGTGGTAGGAGGAGGAGACGTGGGCTGGCCTGGCCACCAGCCCTGGCTCCACCACCAGCCAGAGCCTTGGGCCAGCACCGCCTGTTTCCACCATCTGGAAAACTCGGAAGCACATCTGCTCAACTGGACAAGGATAGCCCCAGGTCCTGTGAGAGGAAGGCCAACACACAGTGTTCCGCTGAGAAACCAGAGCCAGCGGCTATCCTTGTAGCCCAACAGGGCCTGCTGTGGGAGTGCCCACTGCGGAGAGCTGTCCAGGTGTGGAAGTGGGGTTCTGGGTGGACTGACATGAGTACTGGCCTCCAGCAGCCATACACACGTGCATACGTGCACACATACACACACGCGCTCTCTGCTAGCAATCATGCCAGGGCCTGCTGACTTTGGCTATTGGGCATTTATTGCAAACAAAATCTGAGGTAAAGGAAGCTGACCCAGGACCTGTGCCCACCCCTGGCCGGGGGTAGGGCAGTCTCTGTTCCCCCGGTGCCCAGCCCTGGGCCTTACAAGCCCCAGAAAGCTTCCGAGGACAGAGGACCTTGTGCACTGAGGTAGCTGCAGAAGCCCACCCCCCACACACCCCCAACCTCCTGGGCTGCCTGATTCCCACAAAGAACCCTGACCCGAGGGGTGGAGGGCAGTGGGAGAGGCAGACCCAAGTCTGGCTTCGGGGAGGGAGCAGCCGGGGCCCCTCACATCCCAGCCTGCCTGGCCAGGGCAGCAACATCTCACTGCTGCTCCAGGCAGTCCTCAGTCACGCCCTGGGCAGCCAACTCAGCCATCACGTTGTGCAGGTAGTTGGGGTCCGGGTAACCATGGCCCGTCACGTTGCGGTCCATCTCTGTCTTGTGGTGGATCTCATTCCACACCACCGTGTCGCTCTCACCAGTGGTGCTGGACGTCCCCACCGTGAAGATGAGCCGCCTCTTCCAGGCCACCTTCAGAAGCTCCAGGACCTGCCCAGGGCGGGACGGGGCTGGCTCGGAACCTGTACCCACTCCCTCCCGTGTTGCCTGGGCCCCCACCATCTGGCCCGGTTCCCTTGGTCACCAGCAGCCAGAACTTGGAGCCCTCCTGGCCTTCTGCCTCTTCCTACACTGGACCCCTTCACGGCAGCCATGGGAGCTCTTGACTGGGCAGGTGCCTCTCCTGCAGCTGCAATCCCAATGCGTACTCTCCCTGGCCCTTCCTGTAGGCAACTCGTGGCCATCCTGCCTGGCCCAAGAGCTTGCTGGGGGCGGGCCTCTCCTGCTCACACAAGCCCCAGTGGAGCTAGTTACCTCCCCCTGCCCTTGGCCCTTGGGGAGCAGTGGCCATGAGTGCGGCCACCAGGGTCCTTCTGGCCGCAGAGCTGGCCCTTACCTTGCGGCCCTGGGCGTTGTCTGGAAGGTAGCACTGGCGGGGGAAGCCTCGGGCGGTGAATGGCTTTCCGGGGTTGGGGTGCTCGGGTCCCTGCGGAGGACACAGGACGAGGGGTGTGCTCTGTGGAGGCCCTCTCAGCCAGTCCTGCCTCATGGCCAGGGACTGTTCCTGCTCCCAAAGGACCAAACGAAGTCCACCCTGCCACCCATGGTTGTACGCCACTCGGCCTCCCTGTGACACCAGGAACCCTGATGACCCTACTGGTCAGAAAGGAAGCCCCTTCCTCCTTGAGCCCCTGACATACAACACACCCTCCGCTTGCCCTAACAAGTGGCTGAAACAGGCGCCTGGTGAGGCAATGGGACAGGCAGGCAGGTGAAGAATGGAGCACCATGCCCCCCTCCACACACAGCTCACCATCCCCTCGCTCCAGGGTGCTAACACTGCTGGGAATCCTGGGTCTCCAATGTCACTCTGGACTCAGGGAAGGGTGGGAAACCTCCACCCATGCCAGAGGTTTGGGGGGCAGGTCAGGGAGAAGCCCTGTCCACTGTCCCACTCCTGCATCTCCCCATCTGCTCCAGGCTTGGAGATCAGTCATGGCTCAAGGCCGAGCTAAAGGGCCAAGGTTCCCACCTGGGACTCTACTGCGCCCCTGGCCCTGCCACTCCCAGCCCCAACTTCAACCCAGCCACTAAACAAGGGTCCATCTGACCCCACTCCTCAAACCCTTCCTTACTGTGCTCCAGCACTTGTGGGGGGCGGTCCCTCATCGGCACCCGCCCCCCTAGCCAGGCTTCCCAACCCCCTCATCCCCATAATGTTCCTGCTCCTCTGCCCTGACCAGGCCAAGAACATCTCTTCCAGGAAAACCATTCTTTGCTCCACAGCCTCCAGGTTCGCTCCTGAACCTCCTGAGTCTGTCCAGGCCCGTGTGGGCACTAGGTGCCTGAGCTTGGGCATCCTTACTCCTGCCAGGGGGCAGGATGGGCTGCTCCAAAAGGAGCCAGTGAGAGAAGGTCCTAGATGTCACCCTTCCTAGGAAGGGTCCGGGGTGGGAGGAGGGGGCTTCTCTCACGCGGGGATCCCCACCTGGATGCCGTGAGGAATGTTGTAGACGATGAGGATGGTCCCGCAGTCCTCATGGCCTGGCAGAGACACCTGGAACTTGAACACCTCCATCTGGCCCCGGGGCTGCGTCCCGGTCTTCTCCCCATAGATGGTCTTGCAGGACGGGCATTGCAGGCTTCCGTCCTAGAACGAGGTGGGGCCCAGAGTTGAGCTGGGGGGCCCCTGCCCTGACGTTGGTGGGGAGGGGCCATTGGCAATGGAGCTCCCAGGGCTTCTCCAAAAGCCAGTTTTGCGGTACCCAAGGTCAGGTCTAGGGGAGTGTCCACAGCCCACAACTGCTAAGATCAAACCGAAGACACGGCCCCTGTCCACGGGCTGGCTGTATGAGATGACAGGACGCTGGGAAGACAGGCCTAGCCAGACCACACGGCCAGCATATGCCTTGGTTCTCTTCCTCCTTCTGGTTAGTGCACACTCCAACTCAACTCCACTAAAGAAAAGCAGCTAGGAGACAGAGTGTGGGCCCTGGCTCTGCACCTCCATCAGGTGACTCGGGCCTGCCCCTTCCCGGAGCCTGGTCTCCGTAAGTACAGGGCTGGCTACAGAGGTCCCTGGAGGGAAACGATAACACCATGTGTGTGTGAAACGTGTAGGTGACCAAGCATGACAAGTGCACTGCTCCTGGGAAGGACCCAGTGGAACCTTCAGAGGGGGCTAAGAGGCCTGGGCC